GGAAGAAGGAACACGAGAAGCTGGAGAAATACCAAGGGCTCAGAGAAGAGCTCGAGAGGATGTGGAGGGTGAAGGTAACGGTGGTCCCCGTGGTAATCGGAGCACTAGGTGCGGTGACTCCCAAGCTAGGCGAGTGGCTCCAGCAGATCCCGGGAATAACATCGGAGATCTCTGTCCAGAAGAGCGCAGTCCTGGGAACAGCTAAGATACTGCGCAGGACCCTCAAGCTCCCAGGCCTCTGGTAGAGGACCCGAGCTTGAAGGATAAACCGCCCGCAGGGGCGTGCTGGGTGTTTTAACTATGTTAGACGTATGTTAGACTACACGCCTTTGGAGCAGAGGATCGCAAGTTCGATTCCTGCCTGGGGCGTCTGTATCCAGTAAGGGTCCTAAGGCTAGACCCCCTATGCTAAGCGAGCCTACCGCAGACATGAGCGAGACAGATAAATATGAAGGCATGCCGGCTCGGACGTCGCCCGGATCAACAAGGTCCGCGTCAGGTGTTGAGGAACCAGGGCACCCTGACGAAAAGTGGGCTACTGGAACAAGAAGGCATCGGTGGGCAAGAGACGAAAACAGGGCGTTGTTGGAATGCTACTACGCAAGTAACCCCGGCGGAAGGGGCTACATGAATAGGATGACGGACCTATGGATTCTTCGATACCCAACATCCACAATGACGGCGAAACAACTAGTAGCTCAGTGTTCCAACATTCGAAAGAAGGGACTGCTCTCACAGCTAGAGATTGACGAGGTACAACACAAATGCTATGGCAAGGAGGAGTCAGGACGCCAGGTCAGGGGGGAGATATCTATATATAGATTGTAATAATCTTATATATAATATATATATATATATATATATATATTACTCTCATATACACTTGTTTGTAGAAATATATATGTACATGCACATATGCACAAGAACATAAAATATGTGTATACATATACACATGCATACATCATCCAATGAGATAAAAGACCAGAATCACTAAAACTGAATGGTGTCAGAGGTAGGTAGGAGAGAAAAAGGTAGGTCATCAAATTTGATTTGAAGATTTCCAAAGAGGAAGAGGATTTTATAAAAGAGGGAGAACTGTTCCAGAGTCTTGGAGCGGCGATGGAGAAAGCCCCGTCACCTCTGGATTTTAATCTGGCGGCCAAAAAAGGAAGATGGCAGGTATGGTAAACATTACAGGATCAGAGTGTTGGCATTTTCATCTGCTAGCATGGCAGAAGTAGCCTTCATTGTCTGCTACCATTGTGTTAAATAGAGGATGTCTCATTTTGGGATGACCTGATATTTCAACCAGTTTGCAGACTCTGCTACCACCTACTGACTCCTACGTTTTCTCCCTGACTACAACTCTTAGATTATCTATTGCACAGCAGCACAGTGTTAAAATCCTGCTGCTCTAATTGTTCACTCAGTAGGTCCTGCTATGTAACCTGGCACTGTTCGTCTGTTTTGATCTCCCTAACCAGGAGAGGCAGTTGCCAGCGGCCTTTGAAGGGAACACAGTGGCATTAGTGGCTGAAATAAAGCGGGGAAGGAATTCTGTGTGGTTTAGGAATCATATTGGGACTATAGGATTGGGTTACTCTCTCTGTGACAGTGTAGGCGCTCAGACCCTAAAATCCCTGCTGACTGGATGTCTGGTGGAGAGGGTGCAGACAGCCGACACTAATCCGGCCTCTCAAACACACAGAAACAATCACACACACACACACAAAGGCAAGGGGATCTGCAGCACACGCTTAAAACACACATGTAAGTCCTGTTTGATCTGTATCCAGGCACTTTGTCATGTGAAGCTGGTGGCTGATACGCTGCGTGCATTTTCAGCTTCTTTCATTTGAATAAACAGTAAGTGGGGGATCTGATCACCGGGCTGTGCTACACGTCCAGCGTGGAATCATAGCAGCTAACATCCAAACACAACATCCATATGGAGACATTTTAGTTCATGGGCCACATGCAGCACCATTTCATCCTAAGTGGGTCGGATCAATAAAAGACAAAAGATGTGCTTGTTTAAAAAAAATAAATCTAAAATTCACATCTTGGACATGTAACGTGTATTTAACCAACCATTTACAAATCGATGCCGTGTGACGGCTCTGCTTTTCCACATAACTGTAATTATAACTGACTCTGGGCCTCTACATGAAATGAAGAGTTACTTAAAAGTGACGGGACCCTTTCAAACCCTGACCTGGCAACACTGTCTCCTGCAAACACCTGAATAGTGAACAGTGTTTGTCAATCTCTGCAAAGCCTTCCAGTGGAGTCTTTGCTGGTCCGGATACGGCCCGCGGGCCATATGTTTGACACAACTGATTGATAACAGATAGTCTGCCAGTGTGACCTCCTGGTTTATGGAATATATGATCATCATTTTTTTATATTTAAGATTTGCATCTTGGTACAGTGCAGAGTAATTACATAAAAGTAGACTATAATTGCTTTTAAAAAAAAAAAACATTTTTAAGGACGGGATCCGTTTGTGGTGCTCATGTTGAGACGCAGCAGATTTGTGTGCTCCGGACAGACAGACAGACAGAGATTGGATGATGACGATGATGATGCTCTGGTAACCCCTCACCTAGATCATCCTTTTGTGCACGGCGCGCTGCAGGCTCATATCTCTGCGCTCTTGCCCAGCTGTCACCCCCGGCATTGGTCCACCGAGCAGACACACGTAGGCGCGTATCCGACCGACCCAACCCCCCTTTCCTCCGGCAGACCGACGAGCCCGGCGAGCGGCAGGACTACCAGGCAGCGACGACCCGCAGCTGCAGCTCTGAGCGGAGTACTTCCCCCCGACGGAGTGAGTAAAACGCGCTGTTTTTAGAAGCGGAGAGGCTGTTTTGCTCTGCAGAAAACAGCCAACATACAGTTTTGTGTGTGTGCACCGGGTAAGCCGCGGGAGGGGGAGGGGGGTCTCTCCGGATTCCAGTCTGCGTTGCCGGGTGGAGATCAGTCGTGTAATTGCGGGATCATAAAATGCGACTTGTTTTTCTATGACGCATCTTTTTTAGTCCCAAATAGGCGACACGTTCAGCTGGAAGCGCGGCTGTTGTTCCATCTGCGGCGTTAGCGTCGTTTGCGTGCGGCTGCACGCGCCCGGGGTTTTTAAGGTTTTACTGCCTTGCAATATAATGCATGGAAACTACACGAACTTAATACGACTGCAGAAATAGCCTCATTTATTGTGTTTTTGGCGTGTTGTTGTTTTCACGTCACTGTTTGTGCGTTCCAGCCTGAAATTCATCGCTGCACCAAATGTCTCGCGTGTAACCAGGATCATCACGCCGTGCTTTTACGTGACTTTGCGTTGGAAACGAGTTTAATCTCGGCTGTGCTCTGTGGTCCGGCTCAGTCCCTCCCGGCGAAACTCGTGTCTGAACACGTTGTTGGAACGGGGGTGTGTTCCTGAAAGCCCCGGCTCAGCCAATCAGCGGCGGCGGCACTCCCACACGGTGCCGCTTGTTTACTACTGAAACTTGGCGCTGATTGGTGAAAAGGTGGGGGAAATCGGGCTTTGTGCTGCGTTTGGGTGCACAGAAAAGAATGGGAGAAATGACTCGTGTCCCCGCAGAATCCCTTTGGTGCAGGTTTCTAAGCAGTAAATAACTTTTACATGCAAGTGAATAAAGAAATATCCAGTTCTTTAAATAATTCAAGAATTTCTTTTTGATAAGATAAGATAAGATAAGATAACCTTTATTAGTCCCACACGTGGGAAATTTGTTTTGTGAAATATGATGCATGATGAAACTGTATACCGTTTAAGCACCGCTTCTTTTATGTTATTATTGTACGTTGTTTTGCTTGTTTCTTCTTCTTTTATACCAGTTCATATATCTCAAATAAGAAAGTTGCCACCAGCTTCTGTATATGAATATTTGATCCTAATAAGCTAAAAGCTTAACGTGTTCATCTGAAAAGCGATAACAGAACCAGGTGACACTTTTGCACCTCAGTCTGGGAACCTTTGGCTCTCATGGTTCAGTTATCGCACTGCTGAGTGTTGCGTGGGTCAGATGTGGCCCAGTTACAATTCAGATTCAATCCGAGCAATTCAAATTCAAATTTAACTTATTCAAATTCAGTTTCTGGTGGCACAGATTTCTGCCCATAGTCTGCCCCAACATTTAGTGCTGTGAAAAAAGTCTGAATCACGGAGTAATTCAATTCAATTTTATTTATACAGCGCCAACTCACAACAAAAGTCACCTCAAGGCGCTTTATATTGTACAGTAGATCGTACAATAATAGATACAAAGAAAACCCAACCATCATATGACCCCCTATGAGCAGCACTTTGGCGACAGTGGGAAGGAAAAACTCCCTTTTAACAGGAAGAAACCTCCGGCAGAACCAGGCTCAGGGAGGGGCGGGGCCATCTGCTGTCGATTCCGGTTGGGGTGAGAGAAGGAAGACAGGATAAAGACATGCTGTGGAAGAGAGACAGAGGTTAATAACAGATATGATTCAATGCAGAGAGGTCTGTTAACACATAGTGAGTGAGAAAGGTGACTGGAAAGGAAAAACTCAATGCATCATGGGAATCCCCGGCAGCCTACTCTATTGCAGCATAACTAAGGGAGGATTCAGGGTCACCTGGTCCAGCCCTAACTATATGCTTTAGCAAAAAGGAAAGTTTTGAAGCCTAATCTTAGAAAGTAGAGATAGTGTCTGTCTCCCGAATCCAAACTGGAAGCTGGTTCCACAGAAGAGGGGCCTGAAAACTGAAGGCTCTCCTCCCATTCTACTTTTAAATACTCTAGGAACAACAAGTAGGCCTGCAGAGCGAGAGCGAAGTGCTCTAATAGGGTGATATGGTACTACAAGGTCATTAAGATAAGATGGGGCCTGATTATTTAAGACCTTGTATGTGAGGAGCAGGATTTTGATCAATTCTGGATTTAACAGGAAGCCAAAACAGGAGAAATCTGCTCTCTCTTTCTAGTCCCTGTCAGGACTCTTGCTGCAGCATTTTGGATTAGCTGAAGGCTTTTCAGGGAGTTTTTAGGACTTCCTGATAATAATGAATTACAGTCGTCCAGCCTGGAAGTAATAAATGCATGAACTAGTTTTTCAGCGTCACTCTGAGACAGGATATTTCTAACTTTAGAGATGTTGCACAAATGGAAGAAAGCAGTCTGACATATTTGTTTAATATGTGCGTTGAAGGACATGTCCTGGTCAAAAATGACTCCAAGGTTCCTCACAGTGTTACTGGAGGCCAAGGTAATGCCATCCAGAGTAAGAATCTGGTTAGATACCATATTTCTAAGCTTTTCAGGGCCGAGTACAATAACCTCAGTTTGATCTGAATTAAGAAGCAGAAAGTTAGCGGCCATCCAGGTCTTTATGTCTTTAAGACATTCCTGCAGTTTAACTCATTGGTGTGTGTTATCTGGCTTCATGGACAGATAGAGCTGGGTGTCATCTGCATAGCAGTGTAAATGTATGCTATGTCTTCTAATGATGCTGCCTAAGGGAAGCATGTATAATGTAAACAGAATTGGTCCTAGCACTGAACCCTGTGGAACTCCATAATTAACCTCAGTGTGTGAAGAGGACTCTCCATTTACATGCACAAACTGGAGTCTATTAGATAGATATGATACAAACCACTGCAGTGCAGTACCTGTAATACCTACAGCATGTTCTAATCGCTCTAATAGGATATTATGGTCGACAGTATCGAACGCTGCACTGAGGTCTAGCAGGACAAGCACAGAGATGAGTCCACTGTCAGAGGCCATAAGAAGATCATTTGTAACCTTCACTAAAGCTGTTTCTGTGCTGTGATGAGCTCTGAAACCTGACTGAAACTCTTCAAATAAATTCCTCTGCAGATGATCTGTTAGCTGTTTGACAACTACTCTTTCAAGGATGTTTGATATGAAAGGAAGGTTGGAGATTGGCCTATAATTAGCTAAGACTGCTGGGTCTAGAGATGCTTTTTGAGTAAAGGTTTAACTACAGCCAGCTTGAAGGCCTGTGGTACATAGCCGATCATTAGAGATAGGTTGATCATATTTAAGATCGAAGAATTAATTAATGGCAGGACTTCTTTGAGCAGTTTTGTAGGAATGGGGTCTAAAAGACACGTTGATGGTTTGGAGGAAGTAATTATTGAAGTTAACTCAGAAAGATCAATTGGAGAAAAAGAGTCTAACTTAACATCAATGGTACTAAGAGTAGCTGTAGATAATATTACATCTGTGGGATGATTACTGGTAATTTTTTCTCTAATGATAAAATTTTATTTGTGAAGAAGTTCATGAAGTCATTACTAGTTAACGTTAAAGGGATGGTTGGCTCAACAGAGCTCTGACTGTTTGTCAGCCTGGCTACAGAGCTGAAGAGAAACCTGGGGTTGTTCTTATTTTCTTCAATCAGTGATGAATAGTAAGATGTTCTGGCTTTGTGGAGGGCTTTCTTATAAAGCAGTAATCCATGTTGTTTCTGATCTTTTATATATATAGTTTAGATTTTTTGCATTGTTATTGATGTAAGCATGAATATACTCCAAAATGCAGACTCTTTAGAAAATTGGGGTCATTGACTTTGTCAAAAAGCACCAAAACACACAGAAACACTGAATCCACTGCAAAGTCGCCAAAATATCTGGATTATTCCTGCGTTTACTGAATGCAGCATTGCCCCCACCCTCTGTGGGCTACAGGCCACACTGAATGTACCCAAATGCCAAATTAGGTCTCTATAAGGCGTCATGAGTTTCCTACTTTAACGGAGTAGACAGCAAAACTCCAGCAAGACTGCGATCAGATCGAAATCCACTCAAGTCTGTGTTCCCTTCAGATCCCTGCAATCCTTTTCAAATCTCCTGTGGTGTTGTTGCGCTGCACTGTGAGGCGCAGAGATGCAAGATGGAACGAGTGTTTGCCAACAGTCACTCGTCAGCAAAGCTGCCGTCTGTTTACATCCCTGTATTTATTGACCGAGCATATTTGTCATTTGATGCCGTGGTTCACCGCGAGCATATTCTCCTTGGATGAAAATAGCCTTCATCATTTAATCCTTTTAAGAGGGAAGCTGGGCAGAAATTACAACCAAAGTTACCGAAGGATGTTCGTTTGTGGTGAAGTTTTATGTAACGTCACAGTCCGACATCGCCGAGGTGCACTTTAGCTGCGTGGCTGTGGGAAGATGAATAACGCTGTGACATATTTTCATTCGGCGTCCTGTGTGTAGGGAGGTGTCACACTGTGCCGAGTCCCTCAGTGTGCGCGGCAGCACCAATGGCAGCTACGGGACCCGAGGACAGAGCTGGACCGGGGCCAGACGGGACGGCGGCCTGCCCGGTGGGACGGCAGGCATGCGTCTCTAAGACAAAGCAGGGCAGCAACGGGCCTGGCGTGCAACACGCTCTGGTGAGAAGCCTGACAGAGATGACATGTATTCTGTTGTGTCAGTGTGTGAAATTCAGGCTTACATGGCATTTTGAGCACATTAGAACCACAATAAGCACAAAGGTACGCGTCCCAAAGTTCAAACCCAAACTGAGAAAGAACTTGATGCGATCATTATTTCTTTCCACTGTGTTAGATGTAATGCACTGCCTGGTCAGAGGCTGGCAGCCACTTCCTTGCACGCTGTTTCACTGGCAGATTATGCCGTCTGCGTGCAGGACGCCACAGATGGACAGGAAATATTCTCTTAACTGCTTTATTCATGGCCACAGTGGGGCTCAGGAGCAGGGTACCGCAGACGCATGTAAACAGCTTAACCTGTATAAGGCCTGAACAGTGTTTTGTCTGTTGTGTCAGCGTCCACTGACGAGCTGAGTGGACGATTTCTGTTGAACCAGGGTGAGACACTAAATGGACAACTTTTCCAGGCTGGAACGAGGAACTCACTGTGTCATTGCCTCGCTTTGAAGGTGTACGGACAGAGCTGCGTCCAGGCTGAGAGCGGCCGTTACAAGAGCAACCTGGCTGCTCCGCTGCCAGTGGGACCCACAATGCACCTCGTCACCGCGCAGGCGCCATACAGGTGAGGCACAGTGAGGCATAGACTGTACGTGTGCATATAGAAAAGATGATGTCACCCTTTACTGAAAGCTCAGTGTTAGCCGTGTTGTGGATTTGTTTCTTTGTTTTGGGAGGCACAAGTTACTGTACGTGCTAAGTTAGCATCTAATGCTAACACATTTGATTAGCAAACTGCACCTCAGACTACTAAGTGGTTAGCAGCAGTCTGATGATAAACAACAGAATGTCAGTGGCTGAAAGAAGCTCGAGCACAGACGTGTGTGTTTTAGGGCTGCCACGATTAGTCGACTATCAAAGTCGTCGACGACTGATTTAATAGTCGACGCGTCGTTTGAAGCTTTGTAAGATCCCAAAAGACGCAGGAATAAGTAGCAGGATTTAAGAGTGTAATAACGGACTGAAACAGAAGATGGCAGCACTGCATGTACAAGGATGCCAGCTGCCGTTAAACCCCGAAGAAGAAGAAGAAGAAGCTGTGTCCCAGAATTCATAGCGCGGCCCAGCTCAGTTTCCAACAATGGCGGCAGCTAGTTAGTTTTAATATTACTCTTATTATTCTTTCTGGGTCACAAAATAAACGTTTAACATATTTTCAGGCGAGAATGTAGCTGTGTAAACCTCAAATATCTGCTCAGTTTATCAGGACACCCATATTTTCAAAAGCGCTCCGACGTTTTCGGAGACGTCTGTTACCCACTAGCTCGATAGCTAGCCGGGGGCTAGGTCACTAGCGCGTGAGAACACCGGACTCCCGGCAAATTGTTTTCAAACCCACCGCCGTCTTTCGCTACTCAGGTTAAATATATATGAGTCACTTAGATAACTTAAAAATGTTATTGTTTGGCTTTTTTCAGGTATTTTATTTGTTCCTGAGTAAATCGGTTTGGCTGAGATTAAAGTTATAGTTTTTACACAGCTGAATAAACGTCAAGCAGACAGCTGATTATCAGAAGTGTGAGATGCTGGAGAATTATACTCCGGTGTCCTGTTATATTTTAGATAGCAAGGAGTTTATTAAACTTCACCGAAACAATCTGCAAATTTCATTAAAATTTAATAAACTATCATCTTGTCTTTATTTTTAGTTAGCACAGTACCTTAAACACTTAAAGCTGTAAGCTAATGATAGTTATATAAGAGCAGATGCTGCTGGTGCAATAAGCTGTACTTTTACGTCCAATGGATGATGATCTGATTAGTCAACTATCAAAATAATCGTTTGTGGCAGCCCTAGTGTGTTTTCATTAAAAAGGCTCCTAAAGGCAGCAAAAGCATAAAAATGGCTGAGGGCAGCAGGTCACCTATAGCTACCTGTGACCAGCATTCAGTTTTGACCCCTGTGTTGTTGTTATGAAGAGGGAAACTATCCATACAGGCTAAAGCCTACATGTTTGTGTCTGCAGTAAAACTGAGCCTTTTAATATGGGACTCTATGGGGACCGACTCGTTTGAGACGGCCTCAAGTGGCCAGTAGAGGAACTGCATTTGTTGGTTCCTGGTTTCAGATGTTGCTGCTTGGTCAGAGTATGTGAGGGCGGACCTGATTTTACCGGAATATTTCTGCATGTTATCTTTAGCTTTCGCAGCCCGGAGTCGGTGGAGATGGATGAGATCATGGCAGCCATGGTCCTGACCAGTCTGTCCTGCAGCCCCGTGGTTCAGAGCTCTCCACAAACAGATCCTGGACCTGGTCTGTATCTCTTCAACCATAAATATTCATTTTAATTATATAGCACCAAGTCACAATAGCAGTCACCTCAGCAATCAGTCAACAAGCACTTGGTGACAGTGGGAAGGAAAAACTTCCTTTTAACAGGAAGAGGTGAACATATATGGCACGCACTTCATTAAAGGTTTTAGCAGAGCTGTGACTGCATAAAGCTTTATAGAAAATAAACAGGTTTTATTTGTCCAGTCTTCAGTTATAATAATGTGGACTTTGGTCCAGTAGGTGGTCAGCAGTTTGACACGGCATGGAGTAAACTATTAATAGTTTATAACTCAACTAACTTTTATAATATTTGCTGTAACAGAGATGTTGTAGAGCACAGATCTGACGATAAGAATCGAGAACAGGATTTGATGGAGGAACTCCTTAAAGCTCGATGCCCAAACAGCTGTTTCACACACAGCTGCTGTTCAACTGTGACACAAAGAAAATGGGCTCAACTCACTCCAGCTCCAATCCATGTGTGTTATTCAATCAGCGTTATTAGCTTGATAAACATTACCTGCTATTTTTAATGTTTTGGCAGAGCAATAAACAAAATATGTGTGAAGAGGGAACAGAGCAGGAAGGAGGGAGTAAACAGATGCTGAAAACAGGCCTGGCAGCAGCACAGGAGGCCTGCTGTTCACTGTAGGACGGCAGAGGGGACACAGCACCAGAAGCTGTTTTCATCCCAAAAAGCAACAGAATATTTGATATTTAAACCAGAGGGTTTAAATTGATAGACACCGATTTAATGCGGGAGTCCGTTTCCCTCAGCTCTGTGACAAACTCGAGGCTTTCTTTGGCTCACGAGACACGGTTCTACCTTCCTCTAGCTGGCTCATCATCCTCACCCGCTGACATGGAGTGCGGCGGAGGCGAGCTCTCAGACAGCGGCAGCAGTGGCTACTGGAGCTGGGACCACGGCAACGTCAGCCCGGCGCCCTCGCCGTCCGTCACCGAGATGGACAGCAGCCCCGACGAAGGCTTGCACATGGAGCTGGAGCAGGGGGAGGAGCTCGCTGCCAAAAAACCAAAGGTGCACAGCTGCTCCGGGAAAACTGAAGAAGCTGCTATAATCAACACAGCCTTTCTGCAGTTTGGACATGTGTCTGTGCGCGCTCACCCTCCGTCTGCGCTCTTCCTCCCGCAGAGCTCCGTCAGAAGTGTGTACAGATGCCTGTGGCCCAGCTGTGGCAAAGTCCTCACGTCTTCAGTCGGCATAAAAAGACACATCCGTGTGCTGCATCTGGGGTGAGCTGGCACGTTGAACCTTTTCATGCATCTACAGTCACTCTTAGCAGAGATGTGGGAACAATTTTGCTTAAAGTAGATTAAAAAAAATAACAAAAAATGAGGGCTCAGGTGGGGAGGGGCACTGAAAGTTTTTTCCTGGCTCAGGATGAACCTCGGCGAGGCGACTGAGGCTGTGGAGCCTGATTTGACACAAATGTGTGCAAAAACAAGAACGTATCATAATTATCTATTATTATAATCAGAATGAACAAAGGTGTCGCTTTCAGCTAATCACAGTGTGCGTTCAGGCGAAAACACACCGTGACTGTACAGCAATAAGTAAGAGCAGTCACACAATCACGCACACGCTATGTGCGCACAATGTGTTTCATTTAGTCCATGCGGTGTTATTGTGACCCTCCCACTCTCAGACAGTGGTCGAAATTAAAATAAAATATCTGTGGGGAGAATAACTGCACACACGCTTGTTCCTGGCCAATCGGATTGGACGTTCATCCTCAGACTGTAGCATGAGGCTCCATGTTCATATATTATTCCAAATTAATATTTCATCTTTCTATTTAAAATTGCATCACTTCACTAAACGCTCCATTTCCAAAAAATTTAAATTTTCCCACAATTATTTCATGGTTGAACAATACTGTGTAAATATGTGTATTTAGAATATTCTTTATTTTTTCCATTCTTGGTGATGATGCCGTGTTTTTTTTTCCTGTTGTTTTCTTTATGATGTTGGGAGCAGCTGGAAGCAGTAAAATATTCCTGTCATTGCACAAATGGCCAAAAATACTTTATATGATGCTTTATATGCCGTATCATATAATGTTAGGAATCCACTAAAAATAAGGACCAAGTATTAATTGGTCACTTTAAGGACACGCGGAAGTTGGATGTTTTTCAGGTGTTTGCTGGGAGTCTGAGCCAAATTCGAAACCAGACGGGTCGGCCTTCTGGAACATTTCTCAGCTTCAAAACAACATTAAAAAAACAGGAGGGAATAAAATTTTCAGGTTGTGGAAGAGCTCTGCTCGCTTAGGGGAAGGGAGCTTTTCAGTCTGGGCCGTAGTAAGTGCTGCTCTCACTAACTCTGCAAACACACAACTCACTCTTTTTCTCTGTGTGTCCACTGGTGTGTCCACTGGTGTGTCCCTGCCACACATGCACAGCAGTGGGTCAGACCAGTCCCAGCGAGAGGAGGACTTCTACTACACCAAGATATCCTGTGACACTGTCGACCCCAGCTCCGGTCCAGCTCCAGCCCAGCAGGCTCTGGGCCAGGCCTCGTCCTCTCATCTCAGCTGGGCGTCCTGTGGTTCTCCTCCAGGCTCAGAGCTCCTCCCAGCTCACAGACCCAGGTCCAACTCCAGCTCTGGGCCAGGCCTGAGCAGGCCCAGTCAGCTCAGTCAGTCGGCCCCCAGCAGCTTCTGGCAGATTCACTCGGAGCACCTCTATCAGGTGGGTGGAGCACTGTTGCTCTCCATCTTTATTTTCACCCATACATGTTGTTAAAATCGTAAATCGTTGAAAGTCTCAGATAATGACATCAGTGTACGTACGAGCATGTCAGAACGCTCAGTTCAGTTTCTACTCGTGGCTCTGATGTTAGTAAGACGCCATATCCCCAATATGGTCGTCAGTATGGTCCAATATGGCACACAGACCTGGATGCTGAAGCTCCACCCACCCACAGTTCAAACCTTCTGTTTATGAGGGGCAGCCAATCAGAGACTAGCTAAAAAACATTTTTTTTAACCAAGGTGTTAAGAATTATTATGAACTATAAATCAAAGCTGCTCTAGTAGAGTCCATGAATTAAAATATGTAGCTGGGAATGAGCAGAATGGGTTCATTTTCCTATTTAATGTTAATAAATTAATTGCTGGGGGTGGATAAAGTCTTGGGGAAAACTAAATGTTCCCTTACTGCTAAAGTATCTCAGATTCTGGCTCCTGAAAGGCCCAGTCAAAGTCAACTGAAGTGCTGTGGTGGGATCTTAAGAGAGCTGCGCATTAATGGATGTCTGCAAACTTCAATGAAGTAATATTGTTTAAAAAAAAGCAGTGAAAATGTCTCCACAATGATGTCAGAGACATCACACACAAATATGACATGTGGTTAAAAATGACATCAAATTTAACCTTTAGGTTTCCAGTATCAGTGTTGGTCAAGTCACTTGAAAAAAGTAATCAGTAACTAATTACTGATTACTTCCCCCAAAAAGTAATCCCGTTACTTTACTGATTACTTATTTTCAAAAGTAATTACTTAGTTACTTAGTTACTTTTTAAAAACACGATTTACAACCTGAAGAGGTGATAAAGCGATAGATCTTTCAGCCCAATTCTACTTTTTCTGCATAATCCATCATACAAAATGTAATCAAATGGAAAAGTCTCTTTTTAAAACTTGTTTTATTAGTTTTAATCTTTTAACTTTATGCATCAAGCAAAAATTTAATTATACTGCAACATTCTCTGACTGGAAGAAATTAGTTTAACATTTAAACCTATTTTCTGCACATTCCAGCACATAAAATAAAATATTTTTGTGTTTACACTCAGTCTTTCAAATAGATGCAAGTAAAACACAGCAGAAAATAAATAAAGTCAAAGACTCAGCGGTCCTGTTGCTCTATTTTCACCTGTAAAGCAGGAGTGGGGCAGGCGGAGGGTTACCCTGGTGCAGGTGTGCCGCGGTCAGTGGAAGAATCCGCGAGTTTCTCTGTGAGTTTCCCATTACGTCGTAGCTACTCGGTGCTTGTTGGAAGTTTAGGGGTTTTTTCGCTGTAAAAAGAAGTTTTCTTCCCACGCACAGCGGACACTCATGTTTTTGTCACTTTTTATGGAATCAAACTCAAAGTAAGGTCAGTACTTCCACGCTTTAAACGCTGCACGCTCATACTCTCTCTGCACTCGATATGTGATCCATTGTTGATCTGCACACAGCTGTTGTCACGAACGTCGCACTCGCTTACGTCACTGTCATGAGACATTCTCGCAAAAAATCACAGTTTTAGTAACGCAGTAATGCAGCGTTCCTACAGGAAAGTAACGGTAATCTAATTACCGTTTTTGCAATAGTAATCCCTTACTTTACTCGTTACTTGAAAAAAGTAATCAGATTACAGTAACACTCTGTCCAGATAACAAGTGTCAAAGAGCAGCTGTTACCTTTAAATCTAACCTCAAATTCAAATGTTATTTGTCACATAAACGATCATACGCAGTCCAAAGTGCAGTTTGTTGCTGTGCAGTTCCCGACCAGAATAAAACTAAAATGAAAAATCAAGTTAAAACTTTAAGGTGTGCAAATCAGCAGTGAGTGGATTGACAGTGAACAGTCAAAACAGTTACGAGGTTATCATTGAAGTGCATGTATTTGTTATTGAGTGTACAGTGATGTGATGTGAGAGAGACCAGATCAGATACATGTTGTTATTCAGTGAACGTGCAATGGTGTGAGATATGTAGAGAGTCCAGTCCAGGAGAAAGAACATATGTATGTTTTTAGAAATGCAGGGAGTAAAAATTCAATGATGTCAGAAGAAAAAACTACTCAACTAAAGTACAGATGCTTGAAAATTCTACTCGAGTAAAAAAGTATTTGTACTTCATTACTTCCCACCTCTGGTGTCTGTCCAGTTGTAAAACTGGGAATCATACCCATCTGCCTGTAACAGTGAAGCTGGCCCCAGTATAAACGTTTGCTTTCCGATGCTTCGACGTCGTGTAAATGGTCTTTGCAGGCCGTTCAAACGAAATCATTCTGACTCTGTTTAGCTTCAGGGCATTTTCTTCCAGTCATGTAAGTTTTGTCACAAAATACCTGTTCAGCTGGCTATAATTTCAATAATTACTTGTTTTCTTTGCCGAATTGGAGTTGACAAGAAGAAGAAGGCGTTCTGGGGAATGAAATTGTTTGAGGGCAATGTAAGGAGACAGCGCGGCCCTTGTTAGCATGAATTATTGAATGTCAGCTGCAGATTTAGTGCACGAGCACTGGAATTCACCTTCTAAATGTGACTTTTTCCCACTGGCCTCCAGGAATTCTGGCTCTATGTGGAAACAGAAGCAACTGTCTAGATTCCCCTTCTGCGAAATAGCTCAGCTGGGACGTGAATTCATTTTACTGCAGTTTTTGTGCACGCGTCTCGTGTTCCGTGGTCACGGTGTTGTTGCAGATGTCCTCTTTACCCAAGGCCCCCAAGCAGATCCCCTCTCTAACGAATCAGTGAGCTACAACTTTGTTTATGCATCACAAAGCAGCACATTTCACTGGTGACCTGCATTTACCCTGTACCACGAGCCTGTAAATGGATGCTTTGTGACAGTGAGACACCAAGCTGTCTGCTTGCTCGCTTTCCCAAGGAGATAAGACTAACCAGCCTGCAAAAAGCAGAAAAACACCACATAACATCTCCCAGTGCAAAAGTGCGGTGGTTTAAACCTGATGTACACATTCTGAAAAATGTTCCTAACAGACCTTTTTAAAAAAGCAATAAGAGCTTTAGTAATGTTAGGCAGTGTGTCAGTTTGTGCCACATCTGTCTTTCTTCATGCAGGCAGACACTCGAGTGAGAGTGGGTTGAACTGCGGGTCGATGCTGTGTTTCTGTGTGTCACAGCTGCCGGCGGCTCCACATGTCTGTCCACAGCGCTCCACTGACACTGGCCTGTTTTTTCTCTGGTGGTCACGCCCACTGTTACTGATTGGGTTATCGCTGTGGATTATCATCATAATATTTAGCCGTGAAGATACTTCCTACCACCTCCATCTCTCAGTGGGATGTGAGGCGATGCAAAGACGCTTTACCAGAGGGAGTGGGAAGCAGCTTCGTCGGAAAAGATGGTTTATCACGTGGAAGTTTAGTTGATCGTTATGGGGGAAAGTCTCAAACTGGTTATTTTTGTAACTATCTGGCGCCCCAGCTGATGTAAGGACTCGTTTCAAGTGTAAAAATTACCTGCTTACACTCAAGTGCAGTGTTGCCAACTTAGCGACTTTGTCGCTATATTTAGCGAGTTTTCAGACCCCTTAACAACTTTTTTTTCCTAAAAAGCGACTAGCGACAAATCTGGCGACTTTTTCTGGTGTTATTGGAGACTTATTTATGACGACTTTTTGACGTGAAAGGGCGTGTTGCTCTTACTCTCAACAAGCAGCGGTGCTGCAGTGGGCACCTCACTCGTGCTAAAGCGCTCACGGGCGGAGGATAGTCCTCCCCCCGCTGTAGGAGATGATCACACCTGTGCGTCCAAACTGCAAATGAACCGCGCATGAGCGAAGCCGCTGCTCCCGCACTGACTGCAGTCAGTTCTTTTACTCTTATGCTGTTTTGTGGATCACAAGGTTTAAAAATACTTACACACACAAAGTAACTCCACCAGAGCGCCTATTTCAGGTCACTTTTGCCGGTCCAAACCCGGATAGAGGAGCAGGGTTGGAATTGTGACATTAAAAAACAATAATTGCTAAAATAAATTTAATTTGTAGTTCTAAATAAACTATGTGCATTTAGGACGTTTTTTACTCACTTTATGTCTCTTCCACGATGTTATTTCTCTCTCCAACAGCGTAGGTTACAATTACATTAGCATGACCAATTATGCAAATTAGATGATGATGTCATTTAGGGACTTGTAGGACAGCCAATAGCGATTTTCCTTACTGAGGAGTTGGCAACACTGCTCAAGTGTTTGGAAGCCAACCAAAGTTCTCTTGAATTGTCAAAATAGAGAACATGACATGTTGCTGCTAGTTAGTCAAGTTACCTTCTTTATGACAGTGATTGTCAAAGCTAGTTTGGGGTTTAATGGACTGGTAGCTCCATAAGTGTTTTACACATTTCCAGTTGAAATATCTCTGGTTTGATCCCAGCAGGAGATACAAATTCCTGATTTTTCTACCTGTCTCCACCGTGTTTCTAGGCTTCACGCTACTTTAACATAAACTAAACTAAGCTAACCAGCTGCAGATAGTTGGTGAAAATTAGGTCGTTCTCAGGTTGGAACCATGTTGGACGAGAAAGGTACACCAGATGGGCGTCCAGAGGTCCGTACAGTGACATTTTTAAACCTCATTTAAGTAATCGGAACTAATATTGGACACAGGGACAGGAGTTTTAGGGCAGTGTGGAGCGCTTTATCATTCACAGTCACTGTGGTTCTCTTCTGTGTCTGTTTTACCGTCTGTAAACATCCTCCTTACACTCATAGAGCCAAACGTGAGCATAGAAAAAGACCGAATGCTGATCGTTACATAAGGAGCACAATGCGCTGACAGCCAAGTCGCGTGAACGGCACAAAATTTGCGTTGCATTGGCCGCAGAGGGAAACATCATGGTTTTGTAGCGCAGTGGTGGTTGTCACATGTCCATAAAACAACACAGGAGGATAACTCGTTTCTGTTTTGAAATAAGCTAATGGTTAACTGCTAACGTCATGACCACCAACTCTCCCAGTCCTCACCCTTCCAAAGCAGCAAACCAAATAAATGACAGATGGATATAATATGTAAGATGGCATTATTATTGACAAACCTGCAGTATTTTGTGCAGTTCTCCTTTACTTTACATGACAGTAGTACTTATCTTGTTGCCATTAATGTTAGCTAGCTAAACAGCTATGTATTTTTTATTGGTAAATATTAAATAAAAGCTAAACTGGATGTAAATATTGGACTTTAACATGGGGAAAAGATTGAGTTGTATTCATTTCTAACATTTGCCTGGTTCTTTATTCCATTAAGTTTCTTTTTTATTCTGAATTTACACATGTAAAAATGCTAATAGCAACTGTAGGCTAATAAGATACATTAGCTATGTTAACAGTTGTAGCTTATATAAATACACATTACAATATTGAAACCTTGTCACTCAGGTCCAATAGAGAACCCAGGTAGATTTATTTCCTAATGTACTGTAGGTGTGTCAGTTTAATGTGCATATAAGTATATGTTTGCTAACACTGCCATATTAAAGTGATAATAGGCTGTAGTGTAGTGTGTTCGTGTCTTTTTTGCCCAACTCTGCTGCCCAACATTAAACTTTTTATATTAAGCAGTTTGAGATCCTGCACATGTGAAGAATCTGTCTGTCCTTTGTTGCGTCCCCCAGGCCTGCAGCCCTGTCCTGTCTGTGGCCCCCAGAAGCCCTGGCAGTCATGGCTGGACCGCCTCCACCCCTGGCCTCAGCCACAGTAACACTCCGGTGGGTCTTTTGTCTGCCTTTACATGTATCTTTACATATAGTAAGGGTAAGGTGGGAGCATTACCATGTCCAACATTTGATACTGTTGCACTCATAGTGGGCAGGGGGCCACACTGTCTAACTCTTCCACCAGAGGCCGCTGTTGTGCCTAAGCTTTGGTTGTGTCCTCAGATGGTGAAACCTCGCTGTCGGTCCGTCAGCGTCGGAGAACAATGGCTCCAGCAGAACAGGCTGCAGCCAATGAGTGTGTCGCCCTCCTGCACTCACTGCTCCTTCAGGTGAGGCATTCATGATGTTAACATTTAAACATTTCTAATACTCGGCTTCTTTGTGTGTAGTGCTATTTTAAGCCAATGTGCATGTTAATTCAGTTCAGTTCAGTTTTATTTATAAATGTCCAAATCAGGGCAGTTGCCTGGTAGTACTTCGTTTTGTTTTGTAAAGACCCTGTAATAGTTCAGAAAACCCCAACAATCAGACCACCCCCATGAGCCAGCACTCGGCGTCAGTGTGAAGGAGAAACTTCTTTTTAACAGGATGACAAGGCTCGGGGGGCTTAAGTCGGGCGAGCTTTAAAAATTGTTATTGATGATTGATGTTGATCGCCTCTGTCAGTGCGCCCCAGGGCAGCTGTGGCTACAATGTAGCTGCCATCACCAGTGTGTGAATGGGTGGATGTAGTGTAACGCGCTGTGGGGTCCACAGGGACTAAGTAAAGCGCTATACACATACAGGCCATTTACCAGTGATGAAACTTTCTGATCCTACGTTTTCAGTTTGGCTGCTTACAAATGGAGCTTTTTCTGTTGATTGTAGTATCTGTCCTCTGCTTACATCACATTTCCATGGCCTTCCTGCCTAGAAAAGTTTTTGTCTTTATTTGTTGCCCCTTTTTTGCCTTTCTGATGCTCGCGACTCGTTTCTCTTTGCAGGAAGGGCCGCGGGGAGGCCAAGAAGTGCCGCAAGGTGTACGGGGTGGAGCGCAAGGATCAGTGGTGCACCGCCTGCCGCTGGAAAAAGGCCTGCCAGCGCTTCCCGGACTAGAAGCAGCCGAGGCCATGGCGAGAGAGAAAGAGCGTGAGAGACGTGGATGGACGGATGGATGCGTTACAACAAGAGACTTTTATCAAAAAGAGAATATAAATCAGGGCCCGAGAGCCATCAGCTGTTTTACATGTGTGTGTTTTTTTACTTTCAACTTGTTTCGTTTCTTTCCTAAAGGAATGCTTCTGGACTTTTTCTGTATCTTTGTATCTTGATCCTGAAAACTGAAGTCTGCGATGGTGCTAACTGTTGACTGACTTTGACCTACGTGATGTGCTAAGCCTACAATACTCTTTATCCAAAGGTCATATTACTTACTCCTGTAGCTCCACTCTATTAGACTTGGCTGTTTTTGTTATTCCGATCTTCTCTTCCAGTGGTGACACAGTGGTTATGATGTACATTATATTGTGTGCTCTGAGTTACGTACGAGTATTTTATACCGTTTTTTTAATTATAATTATTTTAATCGTCTGGTTCAGCCCATGAATTGGGCAGATATTTTTTTTTTTATTATTTTCATTTTTTGGCACTTTGTTGGAATATAAACTCACGAGAATAAGCTAAAAATTCTTTCCATGAAATGGATTTCCTTCCTGCCCGTGTGTTGGCGTACGACCAGTGTTAATGGCTCTGTTCCTTGAAGCCGTCACGGCAATGGGACGAGCGTGAGGGGAACGAGTTTGCAATAGCAATAAAAAAAAGAGGAAATATATTGTCAAACACATTAAAAAGCACTGAGAATTTGAGCTGCTTTCTGTTGTTCTTGTTGTTCTGCACGACAGTCCACGAAGGAAATGCCAAACATTTTATTGCCACCATACAAGACTCAGAACAATGGTGTGATGGTAAAAATGTGCTGACATGTACGCGCGTTCACAAATTCCCATTTCTTTGAGAAACACACATGCACGTGCACACCTGCGTCTTCTCTGCAATCAGCCACACACTGCAGAAACGATCAGCACCGTCGGGAAAATCTATGAATATGCAAAATCACGGCTGAAACAACAAACACTTCCTCCCAAACAGCTGACGTGCACAGTTCATCCCTCTCTGCATTAAGTGGATGCCATGAGTCGCTTCCTTGGACCTCCTCTCCTGTCTCACCGTGCAGTAGATGCCCAACGATCCCTGGCAGTTTCATCCTCCTGCGCTTTAAACGGCCGTGAGGAGGAAAACGCCTCCGGGTGGAGAAGTGTTTGAAAGCAGGAGGAGGACTCTTGTTTCTTTGTTTGCTTTACTCCTGAGGTCTGCTGCCTCATTTTCACAATTAAAGGATAGTTTTAGAAAGCTGGAATTGTTAGTGGGTGAGCTTAAACCTGGATTTGAAATCCAGGTTTAAGCCATAAAAGAGGGAGAATTTATTAGGAGTCTCTTTTAAAAATGAGAAACTACTCCTCGATATTACTGATATTTGTTCATAATTACAGCTCAGATGCCAACATACTTGGTTACAGTGACTTTAACAGAGCCATGAACCACAGTTCTGATCCTCCGCCTCTTTGTAACCGGAGGATGTGATGCACAGACTCCCGAGACGAATAACTTTCATGTAGCTCATCTCAAATTTGCCTCAAATCAAAATATACAGAATATCTCATCTTCTATTCTCAGACTTGATTCTCACAAGTGAAATCAAAAAGGAAAGAATTATTGTTGTTATTAATTATTATTACTGGACACTACCGTCCTTCTTTACTCAAAAATGTTTACTATTTATTTGTTTTTTAATGTTTTATGAATTTATTCTGTTAGCTCGCCGTTTTATGTTAATTTGTACTTTCAGTCTAACTCCTGGGAAAGGGGCTCGTCCGTAACTTCCACATCCGAGCCAAAGCCAGCATCCAAGGCCAGCGTGATCGTTCCCCGGACACTAGAGGGCAGTTTTGTTCCACTGACAGCAGAGCTGATGGTCATTTCTCAGAGAAACTCATGACGGGAACAGTTTGCAATAAAAACTTCCACCTTATTGCAGAAATAACAGATTACAATTGAAAAATACTTTTTACTGTCAGTGTTAATAAAGCCAGAGTCCAGAAAACCAATTTATCTCATTGTGTTTACTTAATTAGGTTTCTAAGCAGGGAATTAGATTTTTATATCATTAATTAATAGTTGGTGCTTCAGCAGTTTCACCGTCTGATATATAAAATCATCTGATCTTGTGTCTGCTCTAACTGGGAAGCTGAGCAGTTAGCAGCTGTGTAGGAGCCGAGTATTCCTAAATCTAGGAATACCTGTTTCAAAGCGGGACTGTGAGGAAAACAAAGTGCTGCCTTCATGTTCCAGCCAAACATGCATCAAAGTGCTTTCCACATCATTTTCAAACTCTTCAATTAAACCAGTTCTCCAGTCTCATTTGGCCACTTTTTATTATACCGACACACAAAAATATATTCAATTGCACTTCTCGAATTCTTTTATTTCACAGAATGGCATGTAAATGTGGTTAATAGGAAGGACATCACGGTCAAAACATTCTTTGTTACTTGGAGACACGAAGTGAGGCGGGGCAAGATGGCGGAGTCTGTTCTTCTGATGACGTCACAGTTCAAACTGGAGTGAGCTGCTGTGGAAAAAAAATGGTTGACAGGTTGAGGTAAGCAGAGGCGGCGCCCCGGAAGCGTTACAGTTTGTGTTGCCTCCACAGGCGGCTCATGGGGATGGGGTTGAATCTGCCGCTGCGGTTGCTCCTCATGCCCAGGTACTGCCTCAGCAGCTGGTTGACCCGTTTCTGACTGTTCCATTTGCGGGCAGATTTCCGGACGCCTATGAACCCGCCATAGCGCTTCTGTAGCGGCCTCATCGATGAGCCCAGCAGCTTCCTGTATGCGTGGCGCCCCCTCTGAAAGCCGCCAAAGCGTTTGGATAAGGCGATGCCCTCTGAACTCTCACCTTCACCGGCCTCTAGCTGGCCATCGCTTTCCACGTTCCTCTCCTCTCTGGGCTTCTGCTCTTCATCCGTCAGACTGAGATCCAGACTCTGCAGGCCCTCCCCCTCCTCAGAGGATCCCAGCAGCGGTGAGTCATACTGGACGCTGCGCTGCTCGAAGGGTGTCTCATCCAGATCCCCCTCCTGGAAACGCTCCGCAGCTGTCGACTGCACCAGTTCACTGTCAGAGTTCAGGTCGAGAGAGGTCAGCTCCAGCTCCTCTCCCGTTCTCTTGAAGAGAGCGCCTCCTTCAGAAAGTGTAGGATGGAGCGATAGCTTCACAGCGCGTTTGCATACGTCCCACGTCAGCGAAGAGGAGATGCGACCCTCGCATTCCAACAAACACACCTGCAGAGGGAAGAGAAACAGTGACGTGGTGAGGCGATCCGAAGGGGTCTTTTTGACGTTTAACTGATGAAAACACAACAAAGATCCCAAAGACTTTGAAGTCCCCTAATTACTTGCAGTCATTCAAGCGCTTCTTAAGAAAGAAGGTGACAGTGAGGATGCTGAGAATATTGGGCTGGCAAACAATTGCAGGTGCTTAGTCCACACACCAGAGCAACGTGACGGTCGAACGTAACGGTGCTGACAAGGCCTGAAGTATCTCCGTTTTCTACAATCACAAATTTTCTTTCCTTAGAACATAAATCATGGAAAGGACAAATAACGGAGCAGAGAGCAGACGCTCTTATTTCAAGTCTAACACACATAAACTGTCTGTCTGTCTGAACATGTGCGTGTTCCCATTGATCTCTTACTGGTTGTTTCCTCACATTTCCTACATTCGAGCGCTGCTTAGCAAACATAGCAGTGTGATATTTCTGACCTGATATTTAAAGAGTTTTAGCTAGCACTGCTGTTATAGTTGCTAGTTGTTAGGAGTAGTGGTAATTTGGATCATTATAGTTATTCAAGCTTAAAGCTACGAGCAAAGAATCCTACAAAGAAGGATTGTAAGGTTTCCTGGGGTGAGACGGTGCGCTTTGTACTTCTTTAGAGAAATGCAGAAGGACAGCTTTTGCAAAAAGGATGTAAATGGCTGTGGTGACCACATATTTCAAGAAGAAGACGGTTTTGAATAAGAGAGGAAGGCGCACAAAGGTGCAGTCTGAAAGAGATAAACTGCAAGGTGGTGTAAGGGGTGGGGTAGCTGGGGTGCATTGGATGGCAGCCTGCAGCATGGTTCTGGACGAGAAGGGGAGGTGAACCTGGTGGTTGACTGAGGAAGTGCGGGGAAGAATTCAAAGGAAGAGGTAAGCAGAGAAGAAGTGGGCTAGTCCTCTGAGGCTAGACGTGCGACAAAGACAGAGGTGGTAAAGGAAAAGGCTCAGTGAGTTTTATGTGAAGCTGGAGCCTAACGAGGGAGAAAAATTAGTTTATCTCGGAAACTGAGAGGATGGCTGAGGAATGCAGAAGAAGAAAAAATAGAGCTCCAGAAGGAAAACGCTTGATGAGCGATGCCATGAAGAGTTGTTGAAGCTACGTTAAGTAGAGCGGTGACAGTCATTACACCAGAGCTCTTCACTGTCTCTCTTTGCTGTTGGTTCCTTTTGGAGCATTTCTAACAGAACATCAAACTAAAACAATGGTTTGCTGAGCTACAGTCTGTTACTTAGCACTAATTAGCACTAGCATGTTTCTTGGTGCATTTTATTAATTCAGCTAGCTAGCCAAGCTAACTAACGTTAGCTGATGAATAACTCTCCAAACATTTTAAGGTCACTTCTGGCTCTAAAAGATAAACCCTGCGCTGCCTACACCTCTAATGCTGAAGCTTCAAAATGAGGAGTGGCTACATCCACCCATTATGCTGCCTTTGAATATGACACACGGTACATGTATGAACATGTTCACGGGGAAAAAGCTGCCTTTTGTGGCACAAAGTTAGATTCATGAGACAGAAAATGATGTGGCCCATAAACGAGAGTCAGGTAATAATTATGTGTTTTTTTGACTAGAAGCTGAACTGTTTATATTACATCGAGTGAATTCAACTATTTCTCATATGAAAAAGTCTGATGAGACTAATGACTGCTTCCCGAGTCCCCGAGCTGTGAAAATATGCACTGAGTTTATAGCCAAAAAGAAAACAAAATGTAAAAGCTAGCCAGTCATTTTAATCAAATAGCTTTTCTTCTAGTCAAACAGCCAAACACAAAATAATTGTATGGCCATGATTTTATGGCATTACTATATTAGTTTTAGTGCAGGCGTCAGCTGAACTAGCCTCCTTTTAACCTTGATGACTCGGGTGTCACAGAAGTTAATGGGCCTGGTTCCTGCTGTGTTCAGCATATATGATCTGCGAATGTGACACATCCATAATTTGACAAATGTGACATCGACTATTGCAAAATGATTGACAGCACAAAATTGGAGAAAAGTGCGAGGCTGTTTGAAGGACAGCAGGTAAATTATGTCTTTTGCTGACAACTATTTATTTCCGAATGACTCTTCAGCTTCAAGACGTTGTTTCCGCTCCTAAAGATTTGGAACTGAACTTTTCTGTATAGAGCGAAGTTTGTCAGCGCTGATTTCCACCTCGTCTTAATGACTTTCCTGTCATAGTCGTGACGCTTGATAGTCTGACTTCAAGGACCAATGAAGAACATTTGAAGTGCATTTAAAGCTTTTTTGATGCAACAATGCCTTTTCTTGTTTAGTAAATCCAAATATATTTATCACCTATATTTTGCATCCATATATGGCTGACAGTAGGTCACAGTATTCTTCTCTTTCACCCTTTCCCAAACTCCCAAGCTTGCTGATTTCAGTTTGAGGTAAGAAGCAAATCCCATTTACTCGTCAAAT